TCCCAAGAGTACACCACTTGCTAAGTTTCTATTGATTTTCGGTACATGCTAGACATTTGTCAAAGTGATCTTCTTTCTCGAAGAGAAAATGAGTTCCATGTTTCCTTTGCCAATCACTTTTGATCTTCCTTCATTTCCTATTTTTATCTCTTGATTGTCTTCAATGTCATGATAGGTTTTGAAGAGAGACTTATCATAACATACATGAATTGTAGCGCATGTATCATATCGCCAGCCCAGAACTTTGCCTCGGATTGTATTAATTTCGCTCACCATGGCGATAGTCTCATCAATGGAGTTCACTTATCCTTCCTTCTTTTGTTGTTTTCTATGTCTACAATCCTTGGCATAGTGTCCTGATTTTCCACAAACATAGCAAGGTCTTTTGGCTTTGTTTTTGAACTTTTCTTGATCATCTCCGTCAAGTCTTCCTCCCTAGTTACTAGAACTTGAGGTGCAAAGCTACTCGAAATCGAAAGGCATATATCCAAAGTCTTCAGAATTGTGAAGAATCTTCTTCCTATATCCTTTCCAAGAACCAGGAAGTTTAGCAATAATTGCTCCCACTTGGAAAGTTTCGGGAAGTTCGATTTTTACCGCTTTCAGTTTGTTTACAATTATTTGTAACTCATGTACTTGAGGCAATAACGGTATATTATCGAAAAATTTGAAATCAAAATACTTAGATATTAAGAACTTTTTGGTACCTTCTTCCTCGGCTTTGTATTTGTTTTCTAGCACGTACCAGATTTCTTTTGCCAATGTAGTGTTGGTGTAGAGATCATAGAGGCGATCGGATAATGCAATTAGGATATGACCAGGACATATCAATTCGTCCTCTTCCTGTTTCTTCCTTTCTATGTGAATTTCTTCGATATCCTTGTCAGTTACATCGGGAATGGGCTCCAATTTTGGATCAAGCACATAGAAGATCTTCAAGGCCGTTAATAGAAATTTAAGTTTGTCTTGCCATCTTGTGAAATTTTCACCTTCGAATCTGTCCAAGCGTACTAGGTCTTGATTCATCATTTTGATAGTAGCAAGTGTAGATTCCGTCTCCATTGCAATAATAGTAATCAAATAATGTTTGAGATTGTTGAGAAAATAATGGCAATGGAAAAGAAAATTATAAAAGTATATCAATGAAGGCTTGAACACGAAATTAATCTCACTATCCTCAAACGTTATTTGCCTCATTTCCAATGCTTTTTAAGGATTTTCGGCAAATAATTTGTAGGACTAAATGAGCCTTGACAAGAAGAACACCAAAAAGCAAAGATGTTTCTTTACAATAAACAAGTGAAAAATGGAAGGATTATGTGATAAATTTTCTCGATATTGGAAGTATAATTTGGGGATGAATTTCAATGGAACTCAATTGAATTTTCTTGCACTTGGATTACCTATTTATAGGCATTGGCAAGTTCTCATGAAATGGTGCAAGAAACAAGTGAAAAGTCACCAAATTTGAATGAAAAAAAGGTCAACAGTTAGTTTTTAATAACCATGATCGCATGGTTAAACCAAATTTTTTTCTGATTTTGAACAAACAAATAAATTTCAACAATCACACTTGTTCAAAATCTGTATTAATCACATAATCAAATATCAACACTTATGCATGAGAATTAAATATCTTTCAATTTTAATCTATTCATACTGTAAATCTCATAAAATATTATCAGAATTCCAGGTGGCTAGTGTGCCTTGAACCAGTTATTCTTTGTGACAATACCGATGAAATCACACACACAATTGTTAAGCTTTTCACTAGTTCCTCTAACTCATCTAGTGCTAATATGGTCTTGCACTAATCTTATTTCATTGAACTTTTAAAGAGAGAAAAAACTCCAACTCTCTAATGAGGCAACACCACCTCGAAGTTCACATAGGTAAAGTTCTTCCAGTATCTTTGTTACTTTTACAGATGCTTGTACTTCGTACTGAACTTCATTAAAAGTTTATTTTAACTCATCGCTCCAATAGTAATAACTAACACTATTTTCCAAAGATAGTAATTGATATATTTAATAGTGTTGAATCCATCCACTTATCGAACGACTTTTTGTTACCTCTTGAACCTATTTATACTAGTTTAGTATGTTTTGGTGAGGTTGTTGTTATTAGTAGATCTATTTGAGGAGTTTTAATCTCATTTTACTTTATGTCGATCTCACTAACTCTTTCGTGAGAGGTTTTGTAAATGGATCAGTTAAGTTCTCACTAGACTTAACAAATGTAAGAGAAATTACTCCATTCTTGATTAACTTCCTTGCATATTCGTGTCTTAGACTCATATGTCTAGACTTTTCATTGTATACTTCGTTATATGCTCGAGCTAAAGTGGCTTGACTATCACACAAGATAGGTATAGAAGAAATATCATTTATATCTAAAAGTATTTCATATAATAAATCTCTTAGCCACTCAGCTTCTTTTCCGATTTCGACCAATGCTACAAATTCCGATTCCATAGTTGAATGAACAATACAAGTTTGTACTTCCAAGAAACTGCACCACCTCCAAGAGTGAACATCCAACCTGAAGTAGATTTATTCTCTCTTGCATTTGATATCAAACTTACAGCAGTATATCCTTCCAAGATTTTAGAAAATTTTGTATACTGTAGCCCAAGATTTTTGGTTTTCTTTAGGTAATCAAGAACCCTACTGATGGCCTTCCAATGTTCAGAACTTGGATTGCTATTAAATCTACTTTGTTTACTTACAGCAAATGTTACATCAGGTCTTGTACATTGTGATGCGTACATAAGACTTCCAATTGCACTTGCATATTCTATTTGTGCAATTGCTCTACCTTAATTTTTTATCAATTTAATATTTGGATCTATAGGAATGTTAGCCTCCTTAACATTCAAGTGTTTGAATTTGTTTATCACACTCTCAACATATTGTGATTGGCTTAATGTAAAATCCCCACTATCTTTTTTAACTGTGATACCAAGGATAGTGTCAACTTCTCCAAGATCCTTCATTTTGAAAGTAGAGGATAAAAACAATTTTGTTTCTTTGATCCCATCTATATTATTGCTAATGATTAGCATATCATCAATATATGGACATACTAACGTGAATATATTATCATTCACTTTCACGTAGGGACATTTATCTATCGAATTATGGTTAAATCCATTTGAAATTATTTTAGATTCAAATTTCTCATACCACTTTTTGGGAGTTTGTTTTAGTCCATATAAAGATTTAATTAATTTGCACAACTTATGTTCATTTCCCGGTAGAACAAACCCTTCTGGTTGTTCCATATAGACTTCTTCGTCGAGATCTCCATTTAGGAATGCCGTCTTGATGTCCATTTGATGAACATGTGGGTCATAGATGGATGCTAATGTAAATAAGATCCTAATCGAGGTTATCCTCGCTACGAGTGCATATGTGTCAAAGTAATCAATTCCTTCTTTTTAACGATATCCTTTAGCCACTAATCTAGCCTTGTAGGTATTAAATGATTTATCGAAATTGTATTTCTTACTAAATACCCACTTGCAACCAATAGCTTTAGAGCCTGCTGGTAGGTCAACTATTTCTCAAGTGTTATTCGAAATAATAGAATCCATTTTGTTATTAATAGCTTCTTTCCAGAACATGTAATCTCTAGATTGCATTGCTTTCTTATAATTCTTAGGATCACTTTTCACTTAAAGAACAAAGGGAATTACTCATACAACATCCTTCCTATCTCTTTCTACTAAGTAAAAAGAAATAAGTTGGGGATTTATTCCATCTGATCCTAAGTTCTTTTCTTTTCTAGTTCTTTTACTTCTTCGAGGTTCAATTTCAACATCTTTTATGGGTGTCTATTCTGGTGAACTTCTAAAGATTGAAATATCCTTATTATTTTTCAGATTTCCTAGCTATCATTATATTCTCGAAGAATTCCATATCTTTTGATTCTATTATGACATCTGTTTCTAAATTTAATAATCTATAGGTTTTGCTATTGAGAGCATATCCCACAAAGGCACATTTGATATCTCTAGGACCTAACTTGATTTTCTTAGGATCCATATTTTTACAATAAGCAAGGTACCCCCACACTTTAAAATAACTAATATTTGGTTTTCTACTTTTCCAAATTTCATATGGGGAAATTTTATTCTTTTTCATAGGAATCCTATTTGTTATATGGCAAGTACAAAGTAAGGCTTCACCCCATAGGTTAAAAGGTATTCATAATTTAACAACATGGTGTTTATCATTTCCAAAAAAAGTTCTATTCTTTTTTCTGCTAATCCATTTTGTTCGGGTGTTTTAGGTGCAAAAGATTGATATATTATTCTATTTTGTTTACAAAATATGTTAAATTCATTAGAAAAATATCCCCCACCTCTATCATTTCTTAAAGTCTTTATTTTTCTTCCTAATTGATTTTCAACTTCAATTTTATAAGTTTTAAAGGACTAAAGGCTTCATCCTTATATTTTAATAAGTACACACAATTATACCTAGAACAGTCATCAATGAAAGTATTAAAATATCTACTACCGCCTCTAGTTAACATTCCATTCAATTCACATATGTCAGAATGAACAAGTTCAAGTAATTTTGTTGATCCCATTACGCTATAAAATGGCTTCTTAATCATTTTTCATTTAACACATCTTTCACATTTTTCTAAGTTGTCTATATCACATTGTAAATATGCTAATCTTTCATGCCATAAATTAAATGAATCAGTAACATATGCAAAAGATTTTAATTTTATTTGAGTTATCCTCCATAGTACATAGTTTGGCCATTCCTTCGGTGGAATAGCCATTTCCAACAAAGTGCCCATTATGGGTTAATACGAGCTTTCCAGATTCAAAAACCAATTTAATTTCAGGTTTTCCCAAGAGTACACCACTTCCTAAGTTTTTATTCATTTCCGGTACATGCAAGACATTTGTCAAAGTGATTTTCTCTCTTGAAGTGAAAATGAGTTCCACATTTCCTTTGCCAATCATTTTGATCTTCCTTCATTTTCCATTTGTATCTCTTGATTGTCTTCAATCTCATTATAAGCTTTGAAGAGAGACTTATCATAACATACATGGATTGTAACGCATGTATCATACCTCCAACCCAGAACTTTGCCTTGGATTGCATTGATTTCGCTCACCATGGCGATAATCTCATCAACGGAGTTCACTTGTCCTTCATTTTTTGTTGTTTTCTATGCCTACAATCTTTAGCATAGTGTCCCGATTTTTCACGAACATAGCAAGGTCCTTTGGCTTTATTTTTGAACTTTCCTTGATCCTTTCTGGGACCAAGAAGTTTTCCTTTCTTTTTAAATTTATTGGAGTTGTTCACATTGTCCATGGCATTGGCTTTTGAAGAGCCATCATAAGAATTTTTAATCTTATCTGTTGCCCTTGATTCTTCGCCAATACGAAGATGTTTTTGTATATCTTCCAAAGAAAAGTCTTTGGAATTGTGAAGAATATTCTTCCAATATCCTTTCCAAGAACTGGGAAGTTTAGCAATAATTGCTCCCACTTGAAAAGTTTTAGAAAGTTTGATTTTCACCGCTTTCCATTTGTTTACAATTATTTGTAACTCATGTACTTGAGGCAATAATGGTATATTATCCAAAAATTTGAAATCAAAATACTTAGATATATTAAGAAATTTTTGGTACCTTCCTCCTCGGCTTTGTATTTACTTTCTAGCGCATACCATATTTCTTTTGTTGATGCAGTGTTGTTGGAGAGATCGTAGAGTCGATCGGATAATGCATTTAGGATATGGCCACGACATATCAATTCGTCCTCTTTCCATTTTTTCCTTTCTATCCGAATTTCTTCGGTATCCTTGTCAGTTGCATCAAGAATGGGCTCTAATTTTGGACCAAGCACGTAGAAAATCTTCAAGCCCATTAACAAAAATTTAAGTTTGTCTTGTCATCTTGTGAAATTTGCGCCATTGAATCTGTCCAAGCATACTAGATCTTGATTCATCATTTTGATAGTAGCAAGTGTAGATTCTGTCTCCATCGCAGTAATAGTAATCAATAACGTTTGAGATTTTTTAAAAAATAAT